AAAGGGAACATAATGATTGTGATGTGTGTGAGAGCAAGGCAAATGTGTGTGTGTGTGTGAGAGAGAGAAAGAGAGAGAGCAAGGCAAAGGTGTGTGTGTGTTGATATATGAAGCTTTTCATTGGCTTTCATGACAATGTCTTCCTGATATGCAGCAGCACTGAGGAACGACAGTGTAGCGCAGGAGGAAGCTCTACATCAGGTTAAAGGTCATCTGGCTCCAAAAGATCTTCTGATTATTAAACAAAACTTTCTGTTTATCTTTGAAACTCTGCAGAGCAACATTGTTCAGATTGGTTGGAGAGCCACTGGGAACACGAGCTTCCAAGTCTTAAAATTGTCCAAGTCTAGGCATGGACTTTGATTAGGACATTGGAACTGTATTCTCCAGGTCTCAGAATGGAATGGAAAGTCTAACTGGTTTCCTCCAGGATCGTCCATTAACTCTCACCTGCTGAAGAAAGAAGCCCACAGCATGATGGTTCCCCTGCCATGAGGACAGTGTGTTCAGAAGGATGTGCAGCATTAGTCATTTTTGCATGCAAGGCCAAAAAGTTCTGTTGTGGTTTCATTCGACCAGAGTTTGTTTCTCCACTCGCCGGCTTCATGGTTCTCAGGCTTTTTTCTTAATATTTCTCCATAGACAGCCGGGTTTGTGGTGTGCACAGCTAACAGTCATGTCAAAGTGTCATCCCACCTGAGCTGCTCTGTCACAATTTGCTTCAAGGTAACCAATATCAGCTCATTAAGCACTTTGACATGCTAGGAAGCATTAGCAAAGCAGCACAATACAACCACTTGAATCAGATAATGGATAAATTACTAATTATCAAGCAACATGATGACTTCCACCTAGTTAGATCACTTCATAATCAGTCTTTGAAAGTATTTGATCAGAAATCCCTGCAACAACATTGAGCATATACTCTAACAGATAGCTTTTGGAATACAGTCTACAGGGTTTTGTTCAGGAACAAAGAACACTTCCTGATAGTTTGACGAAGTGCTGCTTGTAAAGGCACACTGTAAAAAAAATAAAAATAAAATAAAGTAAAAAAAAAAAAGTAGCAGTTTATTTTTCATGTTGTAAAGAACAAAATGTGGGTATTCATGTTTTCACCATGTTATTCATACATTTACAAATGTCAAAGATCCAAACTAAATATCTACTTCACCTGAATAAATTCAATATTTAGTTAGGGAGCTAAATGTTTAGTTTTCAAACTTAAAATTTAAATAAATATTTAAACACCCATTTTTTTTTCCCGACAGGCTAAATAAACCAAATTATTGCTTTTAATTTCACACAGAAAACGTGTGAGGAGTTCCATATTTACTTCTATATGGGCAAAACTTATCTTATTAGTGTTGTCAATATTAGGTAAAAGAACTAGAAAACTGAATCACACAAATAAATAGACCTCAAATTATATATTTAAATACCTCATACAAAAAAAAATATGTTTTTACAGTCCGACATTAAATCTGACCAAACCTTCCTGCTTTAGGTCAGTTCGGATCATTAAGTTTTTTTTATTAGCTAGCCGAATACCAAAATTATTAGATGAGAGATTTGGAGTTTCTTTCAAATCAAAAGTTTACATGCTCTATAACTATGAAGATGTCATAGCATTGTAATTTCCATATTAGCTAATTTACAAAATCTCAGGTGACTGGAGCCACACCTTAAACACTGAATGGTAAATCAGCCAAGATATCAAGAAGAGAATCTCAGAGCTCAGTGAACTGGGTTCATTCTGGGCTGGAGTTTCCTGGTTCTGGTTCTGTGGGTTTTAAAATATGTTTCAGAATCTCATGGATCCATTGATCACAAAAGTTGCTTGACGACAGAGAGTCAATCTAACACTGGGATGAAAAACGACTGCTAAAGTCCTCGGAGGCTGAAATGGGTTTCTATCGGAGCGGATTACAGATCAACATGGGCAAAACTTTTCTGTTTTTTTGAATCACTTAACATTTTGAGGTTTACAGAATCCAATGCAGTTGATGTTTGAGAACTTGATAAAAATCAGACAATAAAAGGCAACTAGATTATTGTGATGATTCTTCACAACAAAACTGAATGACTGAATCTTGACACGGTTTTCAACTGTAAACAATCAGTGAGCAAATATAAACTCACTCCATAAACTAGAATAAACTAAAAAGTTGTTTTTTTTGTAGTTTCATCACCAAGTGAAATACATCATATACATTAACTAGATGTTTTACCATATTGATGTTTCTTAGTATGTCTAATACCTGCTAATAGATTGTTACTATTAATCTGACAAGCATCATCATAGACAGACTTCATAGTTATTCAATTATATATTTAAGATGTACATATTGAGCAAATTTTATTTGCAAGACTCCAATGATAATAGGATCAATATCCTAATGTATTTAATAAGACTGTATGAGATTCACATTTAAGGTCTCTTGGCACAAAACAAAAGCATTCCAACCACATAGCCGTCTGTTCATCACCTCGCCCTCAATGTGAACTCAACAACTTACAACACAAAGTTACACTCTTGCAGATTAATATCAGCTAAAGGTTCAATTTAGTTAAGAATAGATTTTCGTTCGAGATTAGCATTACCCAAATTAAACTCAAATTCATCTCAGCTTTTTATTCTTTGCACACATCAACCGATAAACTCATGTTTTGTTTGGCACTACAACACTTCATTTTGTAGTGTTCCTATTTATTTATATGCAAATGCACATTTATTTTTGGCTTGATAACGTGATTCTGGTGTGTTACGAGATTAAATATTTAGTTAATTTTAACACCAATACCGACTATAACTTAAATGCTCATTTTAGCATAGTGTGGTATGGCATTATAATAAAATTATGACTTTATTCTCATACAAATTCACCCATATTTAAAACACAAACAACAAAACTCAGTCTGTAACTGTAGTTCACAGAAAAAGGCCAGGAAATAGACAAAGCCGACCTTTTTACTGTTACTGCAAAATGTTTGCCACTTTTCAGATAGCAGAAATTTAGGCATTGTTCCAAATTTTGCACAAGAAATAATAAAAAAAAAAAACTATATTACTTGTGAAAAACAAGCAATGATTAGTAACCAATGTTTACAGTTTTAAATTGGTTTATTATGTTAAGACTAAAAACACATTCCAGGGAAACATTTGCACCGTTCTCTTTCAGACTGAGCAGCCTCCACTAAATGTTACCGATTTTAATAAACTGAACTTGGAAATTGTTTTGAGACTTAAAAACAACAATAACTGTCAAATTGGGGCCAGTTTTTTCTACAGGTTAATTATTAAAAAGTTTCAGATTCACAACAATATTTCAATTCAGGGGAGGGAAGGAGGCCGGAGGGCGTGAAAAAAAAAAAGTACGATTCCTAGGAGGCAGAAAATTGAAGAACACAGAGTTAAACAAAAACATTTCATGATGATACTTGACAGAATTTTAATAAGGAGATTCTGTATGAGCCAAGCAGCCTCAGAGCAGAAGAATGCAGACGTGTTTATACCAAACCTTCATGGCCAGTGCACCCAAAACAGCTGCTTTTTATTCCACATGTTAAACATGTTGCACAAAAGCGTAGTCTGGTTCCTTCATAAAGTCACGACTTTTACTTCCTCTTCATCTTGAGTAGTTTACTTTCCTGGATGGATTCCGCTCGATTAATCAAACACTCCCAGCTCCGTTTGTGTTGGTGGGATTTCTCCTGCATTACACTGACTAATGTTGATCAATTGATTTCTCTGGAAAAAAGTCTACCAGCAGTTAATAGGTGCAGAAGGCAGTGCAGGCATTCTCTAGATGGAGGAGAAAATCTGGTAAAACAGACACACAAATCCCCGATACTGGAGTGACTTCAGAGCTGAGGATTCAGTCTAGACTACAGGTGAAGAAGGTTTTAGAGGTAAACAACGGCACAGTACATCTCTGTTAGCCTCGGTTGGGTTATACACTAGATAAGAAAATGTGCTCTTCTTATTTCGTAGCCATGGAATCAGGTTTGATTGAAACTTTTTCTTATAAAGATGAACAACGTTGTGGCTAAATTTTACACCAAATCTGTTCCCTTTAAAGCCTGTGGGAACGCGTGTTATGACCTGAAGAACAAACATCTGGATGTTTTGGACTCCACAATGTATGGTTGGTACAAATATACCAAGTACAGAAATCATGGTGGTGGCAGCATCATGTTCTAGGTTGTTCCTCTTTAGATAGAACTAAAAAAAAAACTGTATGAAAAAAAGGGAAAAATAAAGATAAGATCCTGAAAGAAAGTCAACTTAAACTCAGGGTTTTGGCTGTTCTGCAGTTTTCTGGAAGTTTGTTCGAGATTTATGGTGCATAGAAGCTGAATGCTGCTTCTCCAAGTTTGGTTCTAGTTCTGGGGATGCAGAGCAGAACCAGGACCAGAACCAGGACCAGAACCAGGACCAGGACACCTGGGAGATTCTGGTTGACACAACAGCAGCAGATCTTTAATGTATTGCGTTGCTAAGCCGTTCAGTGATTTATAAACTAAGAGAAGCATTTTAAAGTGTTTGAATGATGTTGAATGACCATCATTCAACACTTTCATCAGTGACTTGCTTAACCTGAGTGTCAACAGTCTTGTTTCCTGAACATTTACACCGCTAGGTCACCGAGCAGAAACAAGGAGGAGGAAGTTTGCTTCATATGGTTCTTTGAAGATCAAAAAGAAGACTGACACTCTTCTGCTGTAGAGACCTTACAGTGACACACAATACATCCTGTGTCCTGAAACGTCCCTGTCAGCGGGAGGGAGGGGACGGGGAGAGAGAGAGAGAGAGAGAGAGAGACAGAGACAGAGACAGAGAGAGAGACAGAGACAGAGAGACAGAGACAGAGACAGAGAGAGACAGAGACAGAGAGAGACAGAGAGAGAGAGAGACAGAGAGAGACAGAGAGAGAGAGAGACAGAGAGAGAGAACACACATTAGCCGTATTGTTTTTGCTGTGACTCCAGGCATGTGTTCAGTGGGTGAGGGTCCAACCCAGAAAGAAGGAAGAAGCGTCTAACTGCAGCAAACTGAGCCCACTCCAAGTATCTGCTACATACATCACCAATGTACTGATGACATTGAGAAAAATAATGTGTGGAAATGACCATATTAAGTAACACGGCTGAGTCACAGTCACAACATAAAGCGAGTCAGACTTTTTATGACCTCAATAGAAACAAAAAATAGGAAGAAACTAAGAAAAGAAAAAAAAGTGATTGATGATTAATGTCAGTAAATCATACCGACTAAAATCCAAAGAGCTGTGGTGTGAAAGCAGCTGACTGGAAGTTTGAAAGCGCCCGCAACGCTCGAGCCGTTTCCTTCCTGAATCCTTGCCCGGAGTGAGGGGCGTGTTCAGGCCTGTCACTTGGGGGTGTGGGGGGGGTGTTCTTGTCAGTAAGGAGTCTGTGACAGGTCCGGGAGGCAGGCGAAGGCGTGGCCTTGTCAGGAGAAGCAGCGCAACATGCAGGTAGACCACATAAAGCCTGATCAGAGCAAAGATCAGCAACAGTTTGGACTGCAACAATGACACGGACTCTCCTGTTGCTGGTCGTCTTCCTGAACGCCTCGCTCAGGTCCTCGGGTAAGTGACTGGATACTGTTACCTCTATTCAGCAGCGGGGCTAATTAATAACTAAAGCCTTGCCTTCCAGAATGCAGCTTTCTGATCCTGACAAACAAGTTGTGCTATAAAAGTCTTGAGGAGACAGATGATCTGACAAGAATCAAAGGCAGTGATAACTATGAGTCAGTCCATACGTTTGTACTTTTAGACAAGACCCAGAGGAGTTTCAGGGCATGAGATTAAGTAATATTTACTGAGACAGAGAGAGAGAGACTCTGCTCCCTGAGGTGAGATACTGCCTACTGCATGTCGAAACTTAGTAGTTGTTGGGTTTTAAGCTGAGCGTAGTAAACACACTGCAATGAAACGCTGTCGGCAGTGGACCTTGTGTGACAACAAAGCCTCTGCCCTCCCAGGTGCTAGCAGGTCCTCAGGTAACCGTGACACAGAGGAAGTTAGTGACTAACTTTAGAGCTGCTCCCTGCTGATGGAAAGTATGGAATCTGGACCAGGAGTTTCCCTGGTTTCTGTGGAAGACTGCGTTTCCACCGCCGGTAGCACTCAACAGTTTGCTCTGGCCTCTTGTGAATTAACATCATTGGTTCGTCACAGGAACAAAACTCATTTCCTTTTAGAATTCAGAAACTAGATAGAAAAAAATAGAAACACTACATCATCTAGAGAAGAAGTTCCTGTACGTACTGCGCCTGATCAAATGTGGTAAGCTCTTACCAAAACAGGCTTAGAGGTCAACGGTAAATTTGATCCACATATTATAATGCCTGTGTCTAAAACCAAACGCATAACATGTGGATCAAATTAGAAATGAAAAATTCGGTCAAAACTTGACCTGTTTATAAATGGAACAGTCAATACTCAGGTAGAGGAAATCAGATTTCTGGGAGGAGTCACTATGGGCAGCAGACTGGAGCGATCCCAGCAGACTGAATGCATTGTTACAGTGATAGGAAGACAACCAGTGGTTATAAGATGCTTATGTGATATGCCCTTAAAATTAATTCCTCAAATCATTAAAGGGGAAGTATTATGTAATTTACAAGCCCATAGTGCCATTTTATAGCATAATCAAGTAAGTATGTTACTGTCAGTTATTGTAAAATGCTGCATATATCAAGTATGACTTAAAAAATTTAACTTTGTAATTTAACACCTTGAAATTGAACCTCCGTCTCTTTAAAAACTCCTGCTCTTTCATAAACTCTGCCTTCAGGAAGTCATCACAACATGGCTCCTCCATTAACCCTTTAACCCTTCTATGCGAGAACGTGTTGCCGGCGACGTATCCAAATTTGCAGTACCGTAATTCCGCCACACGTAGCGCTATCTGAAAAATTCCAACAGTTTCTGAAAGGGGAGACTGAGGCAACTTGATAGCTTGGAAAATTTAGGTCTGTGGAGGAGCTGAGCCTGGAAAAAAGAAAAGAGGAGCTTCACCCCAGAAGGCGGAGCTAGGTCCACCCAGGTGTTTTGCGCAGCTGAATGGTAGGATAAATAGGCGGCACATTCTGTAAGCAAGCACAGAACAGTTGCTACAGGAGATTAAAGGATTTCTCAAACATGCATCACTCCTGGTTTGTTTTTCATGAGAAATTAACATTATAACATGATGTAGAGCTCAAAAAAAGTCAATTTTACACATCACCACCCCTTTATCACAGTATATTGTGTCACTGCATGGTGTGGTCCAGTGCTTCAGGAAAACATCTGACCAAACTACAATTAGTTCAAAATAGGGCAGCAAGTGTTGCACTGAATTGTTCCTTATAAATATCAGCATGCACTAAGTTTTAGAGTGACCCTCGGTTTAAAATAAAGTTGAAATTACTCATATGCTTTTTTAGAAACCTTGTAAGATACTAAATGTTTTATATAATCAACCTTTAGCCACACTTTATACAATTTTAATACAAAGCTTTAAAATGTGTTACTCTTCCACCATGCAAAAGCAATACTTTTGCATTTACATGAATGAAAACATGAAACTGCCTTCCTTCATCTGTTTCAAATGTAAGAAATGCAAGGTTTTATTTTAAAGAGCCTGTTTAATTATTCTATCATATTAAATATTATAATTGTACATTTATGAGTCAATATGCTATGTGTTATAAATGTGTGTGTGACTGTTTTTGTGATAAATGTTTTGTTTGAATGGAGATAAAAATAAAATAAAATAAAAAAAAGCTTGCCCATTACAAAAAATGTTGAGGAATTTTTAACAATTTTATCTTTAAAAAAATACCTTCCTCCCTTATTACATGATCTTTTTTCTGGTTTAATATTTAATAACAGAACAAAAACCTATATCTATGTATAATTTCCTCCAATTTTCTATGATTTTTATGAGCGAGGTTGGCCTTCTGATCACTTACCCGAGGACTGCTTTACCAGTTTCAGGAGCATATTTTATGGACATAGTAAATTAGTAATAATTTGTCAATGATTGCCCAAAAGAGTCAATGGAGATCCCGTAATTACAGTTCAGGTTAGTGTCAGAGCTCAAGTCAGTAAACAGAAGCTTTTTGTGCTAATCTGTACAAACCCTCTATTTGATCTGTGGTGTTACTTCAGTGTTTTGGTTGTTCTGTGATAAGAGCAATAAGAGTCTGTCTTCTTTACAGGAGCTTAATCCTGAGCTTTCCACTGATAATTGCAACATACTTGCTGTTTAAGGAAACGTCTATCTTTTTAATATGATAGGCACCGTGTAGATCAATGAGTGTCTTTTTTTAATCTAAAAAGTATCTGAAAAGACAGTTAATTCTCAATAAAATTAATCATTTCCAAAGGAACTGGAAGGAAATTTGGAATACTCAATAACACTTTGAATTACTTCATGTATTAAATGTCAAGATGTAGATAGACTTATGTTGCCTTATAAAGTTAGTGTCTGTTTGCGACTGAAAGGTTTGATAGATTATCAGCCCAGACAGAAGGGATGTAGAGATTCTTGTCAATTTCCCTCAAGAAATTGACAGTATATCAAATTAGTAGACAGTATTTGTTTTAGCTGCACATGAATCCACAGGAACGCTGTTACTGCATTTTAGGCAAAAACATTTTTATATTTTCTGTTTAAAAGTGTCAATTGATAATTTGCTTACTTGTGTCTCAAAGTATTTCTAACATGTAAAAGGGAAAATATGCCAATTTATTTAGCCAATTTATCATTAGAACAATTGATAGAATAATCGATAAGTAAAATAATTGTTAGTTGCAGCCCTGGTAATTATGAATAGTTCAATATAAGATTATCGTTATGGAGAACAGGCTAAATATTAATGCTATTTAACAAGCTCATTTATGGCAGTCATCTAAAATGTGTTTGAGATTAACAGACAGATTAACAAACATTAATCCACTTTCTGTAGTTGTTAGTAGTTATGGGGTGGAGGTCTGTCTCGAGAGGTCATTTCACATGAGGACACTGTGGACAAAAAGCCAGCTCAGGAAAAACGGCCACAGCTCTAACAAAAATGTAATTAAGTCTTAAAGGTAATTTATCTTTAACCTAGCAAGTTTGTATTTTGACTGTGGAAGGAGACCAAAGCTGCAAGGATACCATGACACTAATCTGTTGCTATGAAGACTGCAGCTAGCTGGCTAGTTTTTTTTGTTGTTTTTTTTTTCTCTCATGTTCTGTTCCATCCTTGTACGTGATCCCGACAGTACAAAATGCTGCGTGCGCTCAAACAATGAGGAAAATAGACAAGCGAAAGTGAAAAGAGGAAGTGAATGCAAAAAACTGTCTTGAGTAGATAAACAAAACATGACTTAAATATTTAAAATAAATTTAGCAAAGACATGCCAGAAAACCAGAAAAAAATGCTCCTCACTGCAGTTCATCATCTACTGTAAGCCAAGTTAAGGTTACAGCTCTTTGTGAATCACTGTGATGGAAAACTGAAGTATCAAACTGAAGTGGTTACAGCCAAACGCTGGGCTAGAGTCTCTGCGTCAGCGAGAAATCAAACCCTGGCTTACAGATATCTTTCCTGTTCAAGCTGTGCAACTTTAACAAACAGCTTACGAGAAATCCATGACAAAGTTTGTCCTCATTCAGTACCGTCTTGTGGAAACATTTACAACAGCTAGGTCAGGGATTGATGGTGCATTTAGCTGTGTAAAGCATTAGAGGTAAGAGGTTGTAAGGGTGGCTCAGCCAACAAAATGTTAGGAATTAGTGCATCTACTCCAAGTAGTATAACCATTTCTAAACGGAGACTTCTGTTTACTGTTTACTTCTCCCAGCATGTTGGACGATGTGTATTGCTGGGAAAAATGACTCCAGCATGGAGGATTGTTGATAAGTTTTGCTGAGGTCACCATAAACGATGAAAGATTTATCATTTATGATAAAGTGGGGTAGATCGGTATTGCAAAAACAAGTGGGTTTATGACTGCCACCACGCAGCTGCTACAACTAATCCAGGTTGTACACAAATGCAACTAATTCAGTGTCTTTCACAAGAAAGCTTCCCGACATGAGTTTGTGAGGGTTCATGTGGATGAAAACTTTTCTGAAGCCGATCCCATAGGATATTTGAAACGGCACACTGTTCGACTGACTTACACTTCAGATGTTCCTTTACGAGGCTTGGAGTTCTTGATTTACTTTTGATGGCTTGAGGAGAACCTTAAATATGGTGGGAAGAGATTTGGATATGGTATATCCATCTGCCGTCTCCTTTTGTGTGTTCACAGAAAGCCACAATCCAACCTTTGAAGTGGGGACAGACTATGAGGTGGTTCGACCTGTCAGACTTCATGCAGTCAGGAAAAGAAGCACAGAGGTAGATCTTCCTACTTCAATTTCATGTAGATTGATTATTTCATATACTTTTACAAGTTCTGAGTGTGGCTTTGAGAATGAAAAAAAACTAAACAGAAAGCATAATTTTCATTTCTCTATCCCCTTCAGTACGTCAGACCAGAGACGATTAAATATGCAATGACTGTTGGAGGAAGAGACATTCATTTACAACTTGAGAAAAATAAGTATGTTCTCACTTCCCTGGCGTGGGAGTGTAAATCTTGTGTGTGTGTGTGTGTGTGTGTGTGTTTGTAATACCTTGTGGGGACCATTTTCCTGACACATACTACATTAGATTTAGGACTAAGGTGTGACTTGCGTTTTGGTTAGGGTTATTTATGTAAAGACTGGGTTAGGATAAGGGTAAGGTTTAGGCTGTAGAAATGAATGGAAGTCAATGGAACGTCCCCCACAACAATAGCCACGCAAACATGTGTATGTCTGTCTGTGTTTAAAATAAGAAAAAAAACACCCACACAGTGGTATAAGTTTTTCTTCATAACTTCCTCGTCATGAACATCACATCTCTTCAGAATCAAGGTTGAATTTCCTTATATAGAACAAAGATGATGCATATGATTTCATTTTTCTCATCAGTGAGTTACTAACCCGAGACTACTCAGAAACCTACTACCAAGAAGATGGAACTCGGGTCACCACGAGACCACATGATGTCGTAAGTTTTTTTGAACGAGTTTGAATTTTGTGTGCATAATTTTAGGTGTATAGGTATTTGGAAAATTAAAGTTAAAAAAAATTGCTATTGATGATTTACATTCATCCCTGTTAATATTCTGTCTTGGTCAGGATCACTGTTACTACCATGGAAAGATTGTGAATGACAGCGAGTCATCTGCTAGCATCAGTACATGTGAGGGACTCAGGTAAGCGCCTCGCATATCTGTTCATCATGTTATGCGTGTGAAATGCTGATTTAGTGTAGATAAAGTGGAATGGTTTCAGTTGAACAGCTACACTATTGCATGTTAAATTTTATAGCTTGTATAAAGCCTTGGACACACAATGGAATTAGAATGAAATTAGTTTCATTCTAGGAAATGAGTGTTATCTCGAAAGATGAAACAGTAAAGTAGGAGTTTATGCTTTGGAAAGACCGATTTACTTTTTTTACTTGTTTTGTTCATTCAAAATTTATTTCAAAATTTCAAAGGTCATTAATTCCTTTCTAATTAATCGGTGGATTTGGGTTTGCAAATAAAACAAAATGGTTGAGAATATTGTTATTAACATTATGTTAATACAGTCACATATTTCTTAAGAAAATCCAAACGCAGCAAAATTCTGCCTATTTTAAGTAAAGATTATATTTTCAAAATTAAGCTAGCTTGACCTGACTAAGCTATCTTGAATGCTATATACACACAAACTAATTCATGGCATGGGACAATTTGAAAAGGAATTTTTTTCTATCCCAGTCAGAAAATTGTCATTTTGTGCCGAATTAGAAAATAGTTGGACACAAAACCTAAAGATGCTAACATAGTTATCCTGGTTAACCATCTTCTTGCTTCCATTTGCTTGGTGGTGAACTGCAGTGAGTGTTTTACTGATACCTGCTCTCAAAAGAGGATACCTTCTGGGTTTAGGGGTTACTTCAGGACGTCTGAACAGCGGTACCTGATTGAGCCTCTATCTGGTGGCGACGAGGGTGAGCACGCTGTGACGACCGTAAACGACAGGAACTTGTCACCTGCAGTGTGTGGTGTTACAAACACTTCCTGGGAGGACGACATGGAACCTCCAACAAGCCGGAGCCGCTCCAGATCTGGGGTTGGTACATGTTTGTGCCTTGGTCTCGCTGTCGGAGGTTAAATGTGACTTTGGGTGGCAGGGATACAGTCAGAAAACGTTATAGAAATGACTACGGTGATGTAAAGCTCTATGGGGAAACTGAAATGTTTTTGACTCGTTTCAGGGTCTTCCTGTTCTACTGCAGCAGAAATACATCGAACTCGTTCTTGTAGCTGATAATCGAGCGGTAAGAATTTCAATAATTCTATTTCATTGTGATATTACACATCTCATAGGTTATTTGAAAATGATTCAACCATTCACTCACAATACTTGGTGTACTACATACACACATATATATATATATATACACACACATACATATGAAAAAGTACATGCAGTTAACATGCATAAATGTATTTATATTTAATGTATCATTAGCAAAAAAAACCAAAAAACTACACTATAAGTAATTTGTACCTCTCCTTTTGTTTGTACCTCAAGTTTGCCAGTTTAAATTTTCTCAAACTAAAATGAAAGAGTTTCAAACTTATCTGCTGACTCTGCAAAATGGCTTCACTAATTCTGTTTCCTGTACAGAATTAGGATTGTGGACTTCATATCAGGAGGTTTTTTTTTTATCTCATATAAAAGAGCTTAACAATTCTTCCTTCACTGTTTTAAATAGCAGCTCTGTTAATTAGCGTCATCATTCAGTGTTTCCTGTCAGGCAGAGTACTGAAACAGTTTTTAAAGTCACATACAGTCTTAACTTGTTGGTCTAAACTACGGCTGCCTCTCATAATGTGAATCAGCTGTTGGGAAACGGGATGTAACTTTTTTTTTATACAACCAAATATTGTTTCAGTATGCAAAGATGAACAAAGATCAGACCAAGCTGAGACAGAGGATATTTGAAATCGTCAACTTTGTCAACATGGTGAGTCACTGCTGCTGCTGCTGCTGCCTTTCCTGGGCAAATTCCACAACAAATCATTTTATGGCTCAGCAGACAGCTTACGTCATCCAGGTTGCTGCTTTTAATAATTTGTCTTTCGTTATATTGGAAAACCTCTGTAGGGCTTTGAATGGGAAACTGAATAGTTCACTTTGTTGTTATGATGACCTGCAGGCATACAAACCCCTGAAGACGTTTATTGGTCTGGTGGGTCTGGAGGTCTGGTCTAATACCGACCTGATCTCTGTGACCAACCCCGCTAACGCCAACCTGGAGGCTTTCAAGAACTGGAGAAACTCCGAGCTGGCGAAACGGATAAAACACGACAACGCACACCTCATCAGGTCTGACTAACCTCTGAGTACAAGTCATTCTGTTTCTAGTCATCTTGAATGGAGTAACATCCCTTTCCAACTGTGCATGTGTTGTGCAACAGAAAGGATGTTGCATGAAGACAGGTGTATTATCAGATCAGAATGACCAAGATGTTCAGTTACTTCAGTAACTCTTGTATTTTATAGATTCACTACGCAAACATGAGCTGCGATTTTGCAACAATTTTGCCGGAAACCCACCTCACCCTAATGCAAAAACTTTTAAACCAAAAAATGTGAATTATTTCAAAATTGGTGTGTTTCCAATAAGTGGATTTATATTCATAATTCCACTTTGGTCAATGGTAGGTCAATGGAAATGCAGCAATAGTTTTTTAGCTTTTATTTCTGTTCATTTTGATGGTTGAAATTTTATGTTTATGGCCATGTTGAAGTCTACATAGTGCTGGGCGATACAGCTACAAAAAATGCATCACGATACAAGTCTTTCATATCAGTTGATATTGATAATTATTGATTTGTTGTTTGTTTTTTTCTTTTTCTTTCAATGTCTGAAATATTACCAAACTGGTGACATATCCACAGTTTCCTCTCCAGCTCTTCTACTCATTTTCTGCCTTCACTCCAAGCCGTTGTTTATTTTAAAGCAGTTATGACGCACAGTGGTGAAACCTGAAACTGCTGCTGCTCTAACAGGTTGTTGCTAGGTAACCAAACAGCGAATCAGCTGATGCAACCAACCTTCCTTAGCTGGCTAAAGCCTTTCCTCTGCCTACATCCCCCAGAATGCTGCTCGGCTCTGAATCAGAGTTCAGTGAAACTATTGAACAGTCTATTGAACGCATTTTCTATTGACACTGATTACGCGTATATCGCGTCATTGCCTGGCATTCATGCAGGAATGAATGCAAAAAAAACAAAACAACTTAAAATCATCTGAGATACTACTTTTTGGGTTTTCATTAGCTATAAATAATAATCATCAAAACTAATATAAATAAAAAATATTGACTTAAATCCATGCATTGTTAATACCTGTTACACCTGAGGCAGGGAACGCAGTTAATGAAATAAATGACTTTTAAATTATATTCTAGTTTATTAAGATGCCTTTAGAAAATCCCAATCTGAACAGATCTGAATGTTCTAGATGTTTTTAGTTTCCAAACGACTCTTGTGCAACATGTTTCATCACTATGCCAAGATCTGCTGCAAAACAGCAGCGGTGTCATAATCTGAGCTCCTATGTTCACATCAGAGAATTTCTGAAAAAAAACATTGAAGGCATGTCCAAGAAAAAAAAAACAGAATCATCATAACACATCTATTTCTGTGCAGTTATGTTAAAGAGATATGGATAAACCATGCAATAATATGAAACTGTAAACCAGCTGGCAGCCAAACAATGAGCATGAAATTTCATAACCAATTTGTACATTGGTGAAACCGGTAAGTATGTCTATGTACAAATGAGTACAGGAAGTAAAATGCACAGAATTATAATAATCATATTTCCTGTAGCTTTGTAGATGTTACATTTATTCAAATGAAGAAGATGGAATGCAACCGTGATGAAAAGCCTCAATGTGTCTTTCAGCGGGATCGACTTTGAAGGAGCCACTGTGGGTCTGGCTTACATCGGGACTCTGTGCACTGACCACTCGGTCGGGGTCGTACAGGTGAGCTGGAGCTAACTGCTCCTGGAACGGTTTAAGGGACACAACTCCAGGTCTGCCCTACGGATCATTTGGATCCAAATTGTTTCCAGATTATTGAGACTGTGCTGCTGTGACGGTTGGAAAAGAATGGAATATCATGACTGGAAAAATGTGGTATTTTGATATAAAAATGCTTGCCAACCCAGTAATATGAATTCTCAAATACTTCACTTCAGTCCTGACTAGATAATTTAATTGATGATTTGATTTGAAACCAAACTGCAGTAGTTTGGTTAATATTTCAGCAAAATCTTCACATGCGGATACAAGAACCTAACTTGTCACAGATGTTTCCTGGGGCTTGCTTTTTTTTTCCTAACATTAGTGACTGAAAATTTCAACATGACCACCAGGATTGTCATGGGAAAAAAAAAATCTCTAAAATTGCCAATTAGATGTGTTTAGAGTCAAAACACAGCCTACTTGTTTTGTACCTTAGCAAATGTATATTTTCTTGATCTTGTGTTTCCTTTTTCTTGGGGCCATTTTTTCCAAAATGGCCGCCACAGATTTGATGGAGAACAAATGTTTGCATTAAATCTGCAGTAGTTATTGCCAGATTGTCAGAAATTTAGGTTCTCTAACCACTAATTTGCTAAAAAAAATATATTTATTATGTTAATACTATACTGCTACTCNGCGTCAGCGAGAAATCAAACCCTGGCTTACAGATATCTTTCCTGTTCAAGCTGTGCAACTTTAACAAACAGCTTACGAGAAATCCATGACAAAGTTTGTCCTCATTCAGTACCGTCTTGTGGAAACATTTACAACATAATACATTCAAACAGCTAGGTCAGGGATTGATGGTGCATTTAGCTGTGTAAAGCATTAGAGGTAAGAGGTTGTAAGGGTGGCTCAGCCAACAAAATGTTAGGAATTAGTGCATCTACTCCAAGTAGTATAACCATTTCTAAACGGAGACTTCTGTTTACTGTTTACTTCTCCCAGCATGTTGGACGATGTGTATTGCTGGGAAAAATGACTCCAGCATGGAGGATTGTTGATAAGTTTTGCTGAGGTCACCATAAACGATGAAAGATTTATCATTTATGATAAAGTGGGGTAGATCGGTATTGCAAAAACAAGTGGGTTTATGACTGCCACCACGCAGCTGCTACAACTAATCCAGGTTGTACACAAATGCAACTAATTCAGTGTCTTTCACAAGAAAGCTTCCCGACATGAGTTTGTGAGGGTTCATGTGGATGAAAACTTTTCTGAAGCCGATCCCATAGGATATTTGAAACGGCACACTGTTCGACTGACTTACACTTCAGATGTTCCTTTACGAGGCTTGGAGTTCTTGATTTACTTTTGATGGCTTGAGGAGAACCTTAAATATGGTGGGAAGAGATTTGGATATGGTATATCCATCTGCCGTCTCCTTTTGTGTGTTCACAGAAAGCCACAATCCAACCTTTGAAGTGGGGACAGACTATGAGGTGGTTCGACCTGTCAGACTTCATGCAGTCAGGAAAAGAAGCACAGAGGTAGATCTTCCTACTTCAATTTCATGTAGATTGATTATTTCATATACTTTTACAAGTTCTGAGTGTGGCTTTGAGAATGAAAAAAAACTAAACAGAAAGCATAATTTTCATTTCTCTATCCCCTTCAGTACGTCAGACCAGAGACGATTAAATATGCAATGACTGTTGGAGGAAGAGACATTCATTTACAACTTGAGAAAAATAAGTATGTTCTCACTTCCCTGGCGTGGGAGTGTAAATCTTGTGTGTGTGTGTGTGTGTGTGTGTGTTTGTAATACCTTGTGGGGACCATTTTCCTGACACATACTACATTAGATTTAGGACTAAGGTGTGACTTGCGTTTTGGTTAGGGTTATTTATGTAAAGACTGGGTTAGGATAAGGGTAAGGTTTAGGCTGTAGAAATGAATGGAAGTCAATGGAACGTCCCCCACAACAATAGCCACGCAAACATGTGTATGTCTGTCTGTGTTTAAAATAAGAAAAAAAACACCCACACAGTGGTATAAGTTTTTCTTCATAACTTCCTCGTCATGAACATCACATCTCTTCAGAATCAAGGTTGAATTTCCTTATATAGAACAAAGATGATGCATATGATTTCATTTTTCTCATCAGTGAGTTACTAACCCGAGACTACTCAGAAACCTACTACCAAGAAGATGGAACTCGGGTCACCACGAGACCACATGATGTCGTAAGTTTTTTTGAACGAGTTTGAATTTTGTGTGCATAATTTTAGGTGTATAGGTATTTGGAAAATTAAAGTTAAAAAAAATTGCTATTGATGATTTACATTCATCCCTGTTAATATTCTGTCTTGGTCAGGATCACTGTTACTACCATGGAAAGATTGTGAATGACAGCGAGTCATCTGCTAGCATCAGTACATGTGAGGGACTCAGGTAAGCGCCTCGCATATCTGTTCATCATGTTATGCGTGTGAAATGCTGATTTAGTGTAGATAAAGTGGAATGGTTTCAGTTGAACAGCTACACTATTGCATGTTAAATTTTATAGCTTGTATAAAGCCTTGGACACACAATGGAATTAGAATGAAATTAGTTTCATTCTAGGAAATGAGTGTTATCTCGAAAGATGAAACAGTAAAGTAGGAGTTTATGCTTTGGAAAGACCGATTTACTTTTTTTACTTGTTTTGTTCATTCAAAATTTATTTCAAAATTTCAAAGGTCATTAATTCCTTTCTAATTAATCGGTGGATTTGGGTTTGCAAATAAAACAAAATGGTTGAGAATATTGTTATTAACATTATGTTAATACAGTCACATATTTCTTAAGAAAATCCAAACGCAGCAAAATTCTGCCTATTTTAAGTAAAGATTATATTTTCAAAATTAAGCTAGCTTGACCTGACTAAGCTATCTTGAATGCTATATACACACAAACTAATTCATGGCATGGGACAATTTGAAAAGGAATTTTTTTCTATCCCAGTCAGAAAATTGTCATTTTGTGCCGAATTAGAAAATAGTTGGACACAAAACCTAAAGATGCTAACATAGTTATCCTGGTTAACCATCTTCTTGCTTCCATTTGCTTGGTGGTGAACTGCAGTGAGTGTTTTACTGATACCTGCTCTCAAAAGAGGATACCTTCTGGGTTTAGGGGTTACTTCAGGACGTCTGAACAGCGGTACCTGATTGAGCCTCTATCTGGTGGCGACGAGGGTGAGCACGCTGTGACGACCGTAAACGACAGGAACTTGTCACCTGCAGTGTGTGGTGTTACAAACACTTCCTGGGAGGACGACATGGAACCTCCAACAAGCCGGAGCCGCTCCAGATCTGGGGTTGGTACATGTTTGTGCCTTGGTCTCGCTGTCGGAGGTTAAATGTGACTTTGGGTGGCAGGGATACAGTCAGAAAACGTTATAGAAATGACTACGGTGATGTAAAGCTCTATGGGGAAACTGAAATGTTTTTGACTCGTTTCAGGGTCTTCCTGTTCTACTGCAGCAGAAATACATCGAACTCGTTCTTGTAGCTGATAATCGAGCGGTAAGAATTTCAATAATTCTATTTCATTGTGATATTACACATCTCATAGGTTATTTGAAAATGATTCAACCATTCACTCACAATACTTGGTGTACTACATACACACATATATATATATATATACACACACATACATATGAAAAAGTACATGCAGTTAACATGCATAAATGTATTTATATTTAATGTATCATTAGCAAAAAAAACCAAAAAACTACACTATAAGTAATTTGTACCTCTCCTTTTGTTTGTACCTCAAGTTTGCCAGTTTAAATTTTCTCAAACTAAAATGAAAGAGTTTCAAACTTATCTGCTGACTCTGCAAAATGGCTTCACTAATTCTGTTTCCTGTACAGAATTAGGATTGTGGACTTCATATCAGGAGGTTTTTTTTTTATCTCATATAAAAGAGCTTAACAATTCTTCCTTCACTGTTTTAAATAGCAGCTCTGTTAATTAGCGTCATCATTCAGTGTTTCCTGTCAGGCAGAGTACTGAAACAGTTTTTAAAGTCACATACAGTCTTAACTTGTTGGTCTAAACTACGGCTGCCTCTCATAATGTGAATCAGCTGTTGGGAAACGGGATGTAACTTTTTTTTTATACAACCAAATATTGTTTCAGTATGCAAAGATGAACAAAGATCAGACCAAGCTGAGACAGAGGATATTTGAAATCGTCAACTTTGTCAACATGGTGAGTCACTGCTGCTGCTGCTGCTGCCTTTCCTGGGCAAATTCCACAACAAATCATTTTATGGCTCAGCAGACAGCTTACGTCATCCAGGTTGCTGCTTTTAATAATTTGTCTTTCGTTATATTGGAAAACCTCTGTAGGGCTTTGAATGGGAAACTGAATAGTTCACTTTGTTGTTATGATGACCTGCAGGCATACAAACCCCTGAAGACGTTTATTGGTCTGGTGGGTCTGGAGGTCTGGTCTAATACCGACCTGATCTCTGTGACCAACCCCGCTAACGCCAACCTGGAGGCTTTCAAGAACTGGAGAAACTCCGAGCTGGCGAAACGGATAAAACACGACAACGCACACCTCATCAGGTCTGACTAACCTCTGAGTACAAGTCATTCTGTTTCTAGTCATCTTGAATGGAGTAACATCCCTTTCCAACTGTGCATGTGTTGTGCAACAGAAAGGATGTTGCATGAAGACAGGTGTATTATCAGATCAGAATGACCAAGATGTTCAGTTACTTCAGTAACTCTTGTATTTTATAGATTCACTACGCAAACATGAGCTGCGATTTTGCAACAATTTTGCCGGAAACCCACCTCACCCTAATGCAAAAACTTTTAAACCAAAAAATGTGAATTATTTCAAAATTGGTGTGTTTCCAATAAGTGGATTTATATTCATAATTCCACTTTGGTCAATGGTAGGTCAATGGAAATGCAGCAATAGTTTTTTAGCTTTTATTTCTGTTCATTTTGATGGTTGAAATTTTATGTTTATGGCCATGTTGAAGTCTACATAGTGCTGGGCGATACAGCTACAAAAAATGCATCACGATACAAGTCTTTCATATCAGTTGATATTGATAATTATTGATTTGTTGTTTGTTTTTTTCTTTTTCTTTCAATGTCTGAAATATTACCAAACTGGTGACATATCCACAGTTTCCTCTCCAGCTCTTCTACTCATTTTCTGCCTTCACTCCAAGCCGTTGTTTATTTTAAAGCAGTTATGACGCACAGTGGTGAAACCTGAAACTGCTGCTGCTCTAACAGGTTGTTGCTAGGTAACCAAACAGCGAATCAGCTGATGCAACCAACCTTCCTTAGCTGGCTAAAGCCTTTCCTCTGCCTACATCCCCCAGAATGCTGCTCGGCTCTGAATCAGAGTTCAGTGAAACTATTGAACAGTCTATTGAACGCATTTTCTATTGACACTGATTACGCGTATATCGCGTCATTGCCTGGCATTCATGCAGGAATGAATGCAAAAAAAACAAAACAACTTAAAATCATCTGAGATACTACTTTTTGGGTTTTCATTAGCTATAAATAATAATCATCAAAACTAATATAAATAAAAAATATTGACTTAAATCCATGCATTGTTAATACCTGTTACACCTGAGGCAGGGAACGCAGTTAATGAAATAAATGACT